GAAAAGGGAGCATTGCACCAGTCAGATAAACTAATGTTGAGCCCAGATAATTCAATATCATGAGCAGCAACTGTTAAACAGCTATCACAGAAATTCTTAGTTCCCTCTAACACGCTCTGGTCAACTCTGCCGTTAACTCTGTCCCAGCCAAAGATAGTAGAGAAGGACAGAGACTCCCCGCCAAATCCTGTCCTTCCCCTCACACTCTGCGGGTACTATGGGACACTTGGAACTGGAGGGCTCTCAGAGATGGGAAGCAAGACATAAATGTGTAGCAAAAAGGGCCCGCACTGTCTGTCTGTCCCCACTGACGCGCCGGCCAGTGCTGCAGAGCTGCCTCTCCCCCTCCCTCTCTGCCCCCATCCCTTCTCCTCCCCTTTCCTGGCTGCCTTCATTGCTCTCCCTCCCTGTCTCCATCCCTGGGTTTCCTACAACGCAGCAGGGGAGATGCTTCTCATTGTCAAAAACAAAGATGCCTCATTCTCAAACCAGCAAACTCATGACTTTTTATTTTTTTAATATGCTACTGTCACAAAAAAAGGAGCGTGTCCATATAGATGTGATACAACCAGTAGGTGGGATTGTCCTGAATAGCACCTTTAATGTCAAGTGGCTATCAAATGCCATTCACCTGATTTGCACTTATCTCAAAGGCGGCCTTGACCTCTCCCAAGTCAATAAACCCTCAGTAATGACAGTGCATACAATTCATCAATTCTTTTCAAAATAAGTTCAGAAAACAAATAACATCACAGTTTATTTAAATATGATAAATAATTCAGCACCGTTACTTAACTCTCTAATATATGGCACACAAGGCAGAAGCAGTCAAGAAGAAAATCTTCCCGTGGATTTTGCTCTTTGGGCAATTTCCAAAGCAAATATTCAAGTCAGTTGCCTAAATTATTTTCACAGCTGATCCACAACAGATCTCTTCTTTATAGCTAGTGTCCCGTAAAGATATATCGTTTATATCCTGTAAAGATATAACCAGAGGAATTTAAAATGACATATAATGTCAGAGAAGAATCTGAGCCATTTACGTATCTTGAGAAAGACTTATCAGTGTACTTTTATTTCGTTGAAGCCGTGACAGGAGTCTGACTCACCACGGGAACAAACCCAGTGACACCTTGGATTCACCGAAACTCAGGCAAACCTCCCACTGACTTCAAAACCTGAACCAGATTGTTGCCACCAGCCTTTGATTCCCAGCTTGTGCCTCACAAAAATAAATGACCCTCACACCCTCATAGGCAGAGGACTAGACCAGAGAACTATTTTACTTTCAGACGTGTGAAACGGACTGCTGGAAGGTTGTGAAAGTGAATGGTGATTGGGAAGCACAGCGTGGCAGCTTGAATTACTGTGGCACATAGCAAACAGAGGATGAGCTTACAGAGGAACACGCCAGCCTTAGAAAGTGTTCGTGGCTCTGCTGTCATAAAGTGGATGTCCCAGGCACTCAGCAGAGGCAACGAGCCCAATGCCTCCAGTGCTGCTGTCGCTCAGTGCGGCCGCTGCATTTGCTGGTCATTACCTGCGGTTACTTCTGACCGTCAGCAATTGAAAGACACAAATAATTACATGCTGCACCTCCCGACACTGACCTTACTGGCCCTATCTCCTTCCAGTTCTAGCTCACACCACCAGGAAAAATGCCCTCTTCTTGGTATGCAGAAATAAATAAATATCTGCCCTGCAATCTGTCTCTTGTGATAGCTGTGTGCATCTGCAGGGAGGTAAAACAGGGCTGCCTGAGCTTGTTGATCCAACTCTGCCCGTCTCCATCATGGGTATGTCCCTGCTAACAGGGGACCCCGCTCTTTCCTTTGCTTCCTGAGGCACCTGCATCCTCGAAGAGAGCGGTGGTGGCAGGTCGGGTGAGTGTCATCACCAGACAGAACCAGCGCACCGGTGCCGGGTGGATGGGAAAGGTCGTGCCGGGCTGGTGCAAGCCAGGACAGCAGCTTCACCCAGCGGCTCTCCCCACTCAGCGTGGAGTAATGAACCCCTCGTGTACAAGCCCCCCCTGCCCCTGCCCAAGCCTGGCCAGAGGACACTGCCCAGCGCCACCAGGACGGTGATGCTTGGGCCGGGGGTGCTGCAAAGGAAACCACCCTGGAAAGGCCGGGATAGCTGCAGGGCAGGCGAGGTGGGGAGAGGGAAAGGGACGCGGTGGCCCTGGGGAGGCAGCCCCATCACCCGGGCAGCTCTAAGTTCTGTTCTGTCAGCAAGCCCCAAGCTGTCTGAACGGGCTCCTTGTGCCACAGGCTCGGGGCAAACACGGCTTATCAGAGATGCTGCGGGGACAAACCTCCCTCCTCTCGCCAGGGCGGCTCTGTCCCATCAATTAGCTGTGAGTGGCTGCCCGGGGACAAGCACCCACTTCATCGCGTCCCTCTGGACGGCCACATCCTGCTCGGGGACAGAGCTGGCCTGGGCCAAGGACGAGAGCATTGAAGGGACACTCGGTGGGGTCAAGGCCCTCGGGTGAGCTGTGTCCGAGTCCCAGCCAGGACGGGGCTGGAGCCAGAGGCACAGAGTCACCGGCACCCACCGTCCGGGGACAGCTCTGCAGAGTGGGACCCAGGCTGTCTGGGAGGGCACGGTGGCCGTGGGCAGGGGCAGGGGCAGGGGCAGGGGATATTCCCCTCTGCTCTCCGCCCTGGGGAGGCCGTGGCTGCAGGCTGGATCCGTTTGAAGCCCGCAGTGCAAAGGGGATGGGGTGGGCTGGAGCTGGGCACCGTGACCACCCCAGCACTGCCCCCAAGCCAAAGCCTTGTCTCCCAGTGCCCAGTACTCACAAGTGCTCCCCAGTGCCTCCAGTGACTGAAGATCCCAGTCACCTTGCTGTTCCCATGTGCCCAGCTGTCCTCCCACTTTCCAGACTTCCCTAATCCTTGGTCCCTGGTGCTCTGAGAATAGGGGTCAGTCCCAGCCCCAGCTTTACCCAAGGGGATGGAAAACAGTTCAAGATCACTCTGCGAGTCTCCTAATTTGAGGCTGGCATCACCTCTGGTGGAGTCCTGGAGAGAAAGATTGCCCTGGGAGGTGGGCAGCACTGGCAGATGGCAGTGATGAGAGGTGAGGGGCACTGGAAGATGCAGAGATCTATCTGTGGGAGGAAGCTGGATGATGGTTTAATGTTGGAAGAGTGGGGCATCACCGTAGGGTGTTCGGCTGTTAGGGGTGCTCTGTGTGCTGTCCCTAACAACCCCCAGATGCCAGGGCCCATCCATGCGCAGCTGCCCCGTGCAGGAAGCTGGACTGATGCTGAGGAAGGTGTCCGGATCCGTGCTGGAGGCGGGGGTGACTCTGTGCCTGGGCTGGGCTTGTTGCCAGGGCTGGCATCTCTGCCAAGCCTGGCTTTGCCCTGGGGGCTCTCGGGAGGAAAAAGGAGGAGTCATGGATGGAATAAATCCGCCCCTCACCTTCTCCATCTTCACCCAACACTCACCGCACCACAGAGGAAGATGAAGGTCGCAATGCTCAGCGTGGCCCTGCTCTTCACCATCCTGCTGTGCACTCCGGAAGATGCTCAGGTGAGTCCCCAATACCACGAGGAGGGGCTCATGGGTGGGAATGGGTCTGGGCTGCAGGATGAAGAAAACTTTGCCTTGGCCTCTTGCTTTCCCAATCAAGGGGCTCCTCCAGGCTGCCCTGTACCTCCAGCCCTGGGCAATGCAGCTTTCTCCCTCCCACAATTGTCTGCTTACCCCAATTCCCTGCAATTAACCTTTTTGTGCCCAGAGCCCAAGTTCCTCACTGAATGTTTGGACCTGTCTCCTCCCTGGGAAGGCCGTGACCATTTTCTTGTCTTGGTGCCCCTTTTGCCTCTTCTCATCCCATCCTTTCTGTCCCCTCAGACATCATTCCTGGCGATGTCCTTGTGTCCTAGGTAGGGTCCTCAAACGCCCTCCCTTCGATTGCTCCAAATGTCTTTCTTTCCATTCTTCCCCTCAGTCTATTGCCTTTTATTCTGTCCACTGTGGTAGTGTCCCCAGATCCCCTTCCTTGAACTGCTGGATCCCAAACACTCTCCCAATCCCCTCATTTTGGTCCTTCTGCCCCCCAAAAATCACTGTCCTTGAAGTCCCCATGTCCCTTCCACTTTTAATAATTTCCCCTCACTTCCATCCCACACAGTCCTGTCCCATCAGTGCTCCCAGACCAGTCCCTTGGGGTCCACTAATTCACACCAGTGCACTATCTCTGTGTTCCCTCCACCACCTTCTGGTTTGGAGGCCCTAAATTCCCTATGCTATCCTTGTCTCCATCCCCATCCCAGAGGGAAAAATGCAGGAATAGGGCTGAGGGGAGCAGAAGGAAATTTCCTCCTCAGATCAGGGGGAAGCTGTGGGCGTGGAGGGACTGGGAACACCTGCCCCCCACCCACCGCCCCTCCAAGTTCCAATCCAGACCAACCCTTTCCTCTCCTTCCCTAGGCATTCCTGGAAGCAACTGGAAGTTATAGCCTGGATGTAAGTAGTGGGGCAGAGTTGGAGGGCATCCTGTCTGGGGAACTGGAGAGCACTTAAGTCCTCCCATGCCTTGCTGGGACTGGAGACATCCCAGTGACCAGTGAGGTCTCATGGTCTCTCTACAGGCGGCACTCAAACTTGGGCGAATGAAGACAGCTAAAGTGAGTACCATGAGTTCTGTTGTCCGCAGACCTTTCCCTCCCATGAGCATGACATTCCAGGGCAGCCCAGTGTGACCCAGTATACCCACTGCAACCCCAGAAAACATCCCGGCGCAATTTCCCAAGATGCCCATTGCATTCCCATCCATCCCATTACAACCCAGTACACGTCAGGATATCCCAGCACACAGCCCCTTCCTCCAGCATCCTCACTACCTTCTGTGCACCACCATGCAAGCACATGGACTCCATTTTTCCCCAGAGGCACCTTCCCCAAGGACCCCATTGATCTCACCCGCCTCCCAGTACACCCCAGTGCCACCAAGCATGTCCCTAACCATCTCTTTCTCCACAGCCCCTTATGGATGACAAGCTGATGGAATTTGTGCGCCAGAAACGCCTGGCTGCAGCTGTTGAAGTCTAGGTGAGCAACATCGGGACATCTCCAGCCCCACAAAGGAGCCTGGACCCCGGGGGACCCCTGGGCCCTCAGGGGTGGGCAGACCTTGGGTATGGGAGAGGGAAACAGAGGGGACTCGCCCTGATCCACGTCCCAGGCTGAGCTGGACAGAGCTGACCCCATGCCTTTCCTGGCACTCCGTGGGGCTCTACGGACCCAGAGGCTCACCGTGCCGGCCAGGCAGGAGCTCCGGTGCCATACTGACTCCCCAGGGTCACCGTGAGGGCTGGGCAGGGCTATGGGAGATTTAAGGGCATCCCGGGGTAATGACTCACTGGGCAAGGGGCTCTGGGTGCCATATGGGTCTCAGGAGAGCCAATTCCTCTCCTGGGTAGAATGAGGGCTCCAATGCCCTTCTCCCTCCTCAGGACACTTCAGAGACCGATGGTGGGGACAAGAACCTCTTAGGTTCCAGAGGACACTATCTTTGGGCTCTGTCTTTCAGGACTGAAGATGCTGGTGGCAGTCTGGACCTGTCTCCCTCCAGTGGCATGAGGAGATGATCATCCCTGGATGACCCCACCTGTTCCCCTGTGAGCCCTGGGCCATTTCCCTCTAACGATCAATAAACCCCTTCAGCAATGCTACACTCTGCTTGATTGTGTGCGTCCATGTCTGTGTCCATATCCCCTCTCCTCTGCCATCACCCAGACGCCTCGGTCCTCTCTGGTTGCACCACATCGGTGAGCTGACGGACTGAAGGAGCCCGGACACCTGGGGTGTCTCCGTAAAGGAGATCCTCTTCCCACCCAGCATGTGCCCCCAGAGAAGGGCGGATTCGGGCAAACTGGAGCATCCCCGCCATGAGGCTGGGAGAGGGAAGGCGCAGACGGTGTCAGCCCTTGGGGCAGCTGGTGTTTTGGAGGCACAGCAGGGAACAGGTCCTTACCAGGGCTCCAGTGAGCACTGTCCCCCAAAGAGGACAATTTGGTGTCGGGGCAAGAGAACATGGACAGGCAGCCCGGACCCCTGGATCCTCTGCCCCGCGCTGGGAAGGGCAGTGGGTCCCTCTCCCTTGGACTCGACAGTCCTGACTTGACAGGAGATGTCAGAGCCCCATGCTGGGCCCATGCGCCTTCCCAGACCCCCAGCTCATGCCCCTCTCTCTGGGGCCCCCTCAGCCCCACCACAGGCCAGGAAGGCAGCTCACGGGCACCAGACCTGCCTCCATCCCCCGACACGTGTGGCCAGGCTTTGTGGGGCTTTGTGTTCGTTACCTCTTGACTGTGGCTTCAGCTCTCCAGGCATGCACTGATGTATCACCCACTTTTACATTAGGAAGTTTTCCCTCCCACCACTGCATGTGATTATCTTAAGGATGACCTCAAGGGTCTTTGCCAACCAACATGATTCTAGGATTCTATGATTTCATGTCTTCAGCAGGGTTGACTGCAGGGGAATATTTACCAGGGGCTCTGGTGGGATCGGAGATTCCCCAGGGCAGTGGAATGCAATTGGGGCTGATGGGCATCATCATCCTGTGGCTTGTGCATGGACTGTGGTGTCAGGGCAGGAAATGGCAATCGGGAAACCAATGGAAAATGGGGAAATCAGACACCAAAATGTACCAGGACACAGACCTGACAGAGTAAACATTGAGACAATGACGAGGAGCAAACCTCACTGCTCGCAGCTTTTCATCCACCAGTACTCCCAAGCGCATCTCAGCATGGCTGCTCTCAGTCCATTCATCCTCCAGTTTGTATCGATACTGGGGATTGCTCCGACCCATGTGCACAACCTTGCAATTGGTCTTGTTGAACCTCACGAGTTTCACATGGACTCTCAGGGATTCATTTGTCCAGGTCCCTCTGGATGGCATGCCATCCCTCAGGTGTATCAGCTGCACCACTCAGCTTGGTGGTGTTTGCAAACTTGCTGATGGTTAACTTGATCCCACCATCTATGTCACTGATGAAGATGTCAAACAGTGCTGCTCCCAACACGGACTCCTGAGGGTCATCACTCGTCGCTGATATCCATCTGGACCACTGGCCATTGACCACTACCCTCTGGATGCGACCATCCAACCAGCGCCTCATGCGTTGAACTGCACCCCAGGGGGCTGTGTGCTGGGGCAGGGACTCTGCCGCCTGCCAGGGTCAGCACTCAGCCTGCCCGGGGAGCTCCCCACAGCGCTGTGGGGAGAAGCTGTGGGGGGAAGGAGAGACATCAAGTGCTTGTCTGACCTACTCATTAGGACCTGCGAACAGGGAGATGCCCCTTGGTCTTCAGGGCAGAGCTGAGCACACAGCGGGTGGGATGGGGGCTGTGAGCACTGACAAGGAGGTGACATGGGGACAGAGAAAAGGCTCCTGGCTGTGGCAGCTAAAGACAGCAGAGAGTCGGGACACGCCTCTGCATCCCCCCCTGCTCAGCTGTGCAAGGAAAGAGAGAACAGTTTGGAGAAATGGACTTGAAAACTGGATGCTTCCAAGCACAGTTTTTAGTGATAGCATCCCCCAATGGAGGGATGTGTGAGCACAGGGTACCTCTGTGGTGACCAGCAGGTCACTCGTGGGCAGACCAGCCCTCCTGGCTCTGCGCTAGGACACAGGGAGTTAGTTTGTCCTTCAGGGCTCCCGTGTTCAGGCTGAGAGCAATATGAAAGTTAAGGATTTCTGCCCCTTCAGAGAAAGCGTCCTCAGCAGCAGCACAAACCTGACCTCACGAAAAGGAATGAAAAGAAGCTCCCTCAAAGAAAGAGAAATAACTTCTGGAGGATTTGGGGGGAAATAGAATAGGACTGAGTAAAATAAGTCTGCCCTAACTTGCTTATGTCTTCTCTTTCAACCATCCTCCATCCGCAGAGTGAACAAATGTCCAACAGCAGCTCCATCACCCAGTTCCTCCTCCTGGCATTTGCAGAAACCTGGGCTCCATCTCCACCACTCTGCCCAAAGCCACGGCCAATTCCCTCTGGGACACCAGGGACATCTCCCACCCAGGATGTGCTGCCCAAGTAATTCTGTTTCTATTTTTGATATCATCAGAATATTTCCTTCTTACTGTCATGTCCTATGACCGCTACGTTGCCATCTGCCAACCCCTGCACTACGGGACCCTCCTGGGCAGCAGAGCTTGTGTCCACATGGCAGCAGCTGCCTGGGCCACTGGGCTGCTCAATTCTCTCCCGCACGCTGCCAACACATTCTCACAACCGCTCTGCCAATGACAATGTTCTGGACCAGTTCTTCTGTGAAATCCCCCAGATCCTCAAGCTCTCCTCAGACTCTGACTACCTCAAGGAAGTTGGACTTTTTGTGGCTGGTGTCTCTATAGCATTTGGGTGTTTTATAGTTATTCTTTTTTCCTACGTGCAGATCTTCAGGGCCGTGCTGAGGATCCCCTCCGAGCAGGGACGGCACAAAGCCTTCTCCACGTGCCTCCCTCACCTGGCCGTGCTCTCCCTGTTTATCAGCACTGCCATCTCTGCCTACCTGAAACCCCCATCCATCTCCTCCCCATCCCTGGACCTGGTGCTGTCATTTCTGTACTCGGTGGTGCCTCCAGCAGTGAACCCCCTCACCTACAGCATGAGGAACCAGGAGCTCAAGGATGCACTGAGGAAATAGATGACCTGATGTTTTTAAGCAGCAATAAACTCTTCATCTTCTTTTGCACAACAGTTACAATGCAACTCATTACAGGCCCAGCCCATCATCTGCATTTTCTTTTGTTCTTGTTGGTATCTGACTTGTAATGATGTTGTCATCCCCTTCCCAATTCACTGTCTGCTTTGCTTTTCTGACCGAGTGGCTCTGTAAATGAGGAGCTGTGCTCTCTGTGTGTTTGAACAAAATAAAGGGCCCTGCAGTAACTTCTTTTTTTTTTTTTTCTGAGATCCTTCCTCCAAGACCCTTTCAGAGCTGCAGGAACAACTCCTATGTGCAGAGTTGGAGGGGAAGAGTCCCATCGTGGCAGGATTGCCAGAGACCAACTGGACTTCCAAAGCTGTTCTCTTTTCACTTCCACACTCTCCTTCTGACCTGCTTGGTTTGGTAAAAGGTCTGCGTGCTCTGGCAGCTTGGTCCCTGTCCTGCCGGGTGGGAGCTCTGTGACCGCAGGCAGGGACAGGCAGTGGGCACCGCTGGGACAGAACTGGCCTCCACAACAGCGTTTCCAAGAAGAAAGGTGATCTTCTCGGGGCACTGCCTGAAGGCACAGGTCTTGTTCCAAAGCTGATCTCAAGAATGTGCCCAAGAAATTGTCCGGCAGATGAAAACACCGGTGAACAGTGTGAGTGCGTGGGATGGGGTGTGCAGCAGTGTCCTTGCACAGCCAGGCCTCCTGCCAGAGACCTGAAGAACTAGTGTCAGCTCCGTGCCTGTGTTCACTGGACACACCGGAGAAGCTACCTGTGCTGGTTTTGGCTGGGTGAAACAAAAAAAGGCCCAAACAATCGGCCTCAAACCAAAGTTGACTTCTGAGTGAATTCCCCGACCAGCAACCAGCATCTTATCAGCATCATGAAGCAATCAGCATCTTATTAGCAGACTGAAGCAACCAGCATCTGATCAGCATGAAAATGCAACCCTGGGAACAATCCCTGGGAACTATAAGTAAACAATAGGAAGTAACTATAAATCCCAAATGTAAAGAAAACCAGAAACTCCTCAGACGTGCCCAGATCCTGGCCAGATCCGGACACACCTGAGTGAGGCACGTCAATCTACCAGATATCTCCTGTGCGTTTTGTTTAGACTTGTTTGTTAAACTGTACAAAAGCCGGGCCCTCTCCCAGCACAGACGCAGACCTCCCCTACGAGCGGACGCCCTGCGTGGGACTTCCCAGCTGCCGGGAAAGGCTCTGCGACCCTTCGCTGGGACGGGGCTCCCCAGCTGGTGCACGGGGCGGGGGGATGGTAAAGTAGGAGGGCAATTGGTGATGGATCTTTCTTAATCACTATAGCCAGCTTTATGTAGTAATGACTAGGTGCATTACCTTGCTTATTCTTTCTGCTGCTTTAAACTAAAGTAAAATAAGGCTATTTCTTTAGCTCGGTGCCTGTGTCCTTTGTGTTAACCCCGTCAACTGGCAAAACACTGGGATAGAGTTAATTTTCTTCCTAGTAGCTAGTATGGGGCTCTGGTTAGATTTGTGCTGAAAACCGTGTTGATTACACAGGCGTTTTCTTTACTGCTGAGCAGTGATTACACAGCACCAAGGTCTTTGCTGCTCCTCACCCCACCCCAGTAGTGAGCAGACTGCGGGTGCACAAGGATCTGGGAAGGGACACAGGCAGGACAGCTGACCCCAACTGACCAGAGAGGTATTCCATAGCATATGATGTCATGCTCAGCAATAAAGCTAGGGGAAGATGAAGGAAGAGAGGGACATTCGGGGTTATGGTGTTTGTCTTCCTACGTATTGCTGTGTGTGATGGAGCCCAGCTTTCTCAGAGGTGGTGAACACCTGTCTTCCAATGGGAAGTGGCGAATTAATTCCTTGTTTTGCTTTACTTGCATGTGCAGCTTTTACTTTACCTATTAAACTGCCTTTTTCTCAAGCCATTAGTTTTCTTATTTTTACCCTTCTGATTCTCTCCTCCATCCCACCGCAGGGGAGTGACCAAGTGGATGCGGGGGGCTTAGTTGCTGGCTGGGGTTAAACCATGACACTGTTCCAGGACAATCATCATGGAGTAGCCCCTCACAGCCACCTTTTTCAGCACCAGCCTCTCACCCCAGCTCAGAGAGGTTCTTCATCCCTTTATGGAGGGACATCAGAAGTCTAGGTCAGAAGGGCATCTTTGCATTTTAGGGAGAAGATGTAAACCTGCACATCATGTATGTGAGCTGAGATGAACCCCGGTGAGCACAAATGCCATCAGCTATTCCTGGGGGTGCCATGAAGGCCTGTGACACTGACTGTGTCTTGAGGTCACTTCACGTAGAGAGTCACATCCCCCAGGAAACCCCCTGAATGCAGCACTGGGAGGTGCTTCCCTGAACTGTGGTCCCTGTGTCCATTCCTCGTGCCTCGGGGCATCTCCCACGGGTGCAGAGCAGGGCGAGCAGCGCAGGGCTGAGGTGCCTCCCAGCCTCTGGGGGTGGCAGCAGGAGTTCAGAGAGACACTATGGCTCCTGCAGGGCACTGCCTCTGCGTGTGCAAGGGAAGGACTCGTGTCTCTGAACAGCCCTGTGTGTAAGAGGAGTGCCCGAGGCCAGCTCAGCTGTGGGCACCTGACAGAGCCCTGACACTTCTGTGTGTGACTGCAGGAACAACCCCACCTTCCCAGTGAGATTCACCTCAGCTGCCTTGGACAGGAGCATTGTAAGTGCTCCTGTCTGCTCTGTCACACCCCTCTCTCTTTCTAGACCGTGCCCCAAAACTGACAGAGCAATCAGAGAGGTTCTGGGGTCCTTGGAAAAGGCAGATGTCAAACCCATCTTCAGGAAGGGCAGGAAGGAGAATTGGGAGAATTACAGGCTGGTCAGCCTACCTCAGTCCCTCGGAAGGTGATGGGACACATCCTCCTGCTGCCATTTCCAGGCACTTGAAGGATAAGAAAGGCCTTGCTAAACCAGAATTGGCGGGGAAAACAAGGGAATATTGTGTACACGGAATTTTGTAAGGCCTTTGGCATGGTCTCCTGTGGTGTCCTTATAGCCAGATTGGTGGTGTCTGGGCTGAAGGGATGTGCGCAACGATGGATGGGAAGTTGTCTGGATGATCAAACCCAAATGTGGTAAAGTCCTCTGTGCGAGCAGACACTATTGGCATCCCTGAGTGATGAGTACTTAGGCCAACAGTGTTGAATGTCTTTATTATCCCCTTGTATGATGTGACAGAGAGCACTTTCAGCTCCTTTGTGGATGGTGCAAAGCTGGGTGGACACCTAGAACAACCTCGTCTAGTTACTCTGCCTTGAATTTGAAAGTTGGACAAGATGTTCAGGGCTCCCTCGAAACCTGAGCTACTCTATAATTCAAGTAATCTTTCCCCTAAAGAGATTTTTGAAGACAGAATAAGTTGAGGAAGAAGAAAAACAAAAAAAAGATGCACACAGGAGATATAAAATCTGCCAACATAAATATTGCAGTTCCTGTAAAGAATGATTCTGCACTCAGATAGTCAGTAGGAAACATAGATTATAATAAAAGAAATATTTGTTAATTTTAATAAAAGAAGCATACTTGTATTTGGCCAGGTCCTGGGCCATAATGGGGTTGATGGATGACTATGTTATTCTGAGGTCAGTTGTGTCTCAGAAACTCAAACTCGAGCAGGAAGCGTACAGCTGTGAAGGGGACTGTGAGGTCAGTTTTGTCTCTGGAGGTGAGAGGCCAGCAGCAGGAACACGGCTGGGAAAGTTCCTCTGCCACAGTAACCCCACGGGCCTTATCCAGGACGAGGGCTTGGATAGATTGTCATCTCCACTCTGCCTGAACATGTGATGGGACAGCAGCAGATGTAGGGTTTAGCAGGTCATGGTGAGGTTACTTCTCTCTGGTCAGGCGAAAGGCCACAGAAAGTCTCACGGGTTGGGTTCGCTGCTGGCAGGGTGGTTTCTGAGGTGGTAGAGCTTTCCTCGGTAGTGGGAAACGTCAGTGAAGATACAGAAATGCTGGGGTGAGACCAAGGCGGGGAAGCGAAATGGGCGCCTACAGCCTGCAAAGAAATAGGGGCAGGTATCAGATATTGTCCAACAGCCTCTGGCGGGGATGGCAAAAGGCACTGGCAAGGCTGGAAGGCACCAACAGAACCCAGGTGTTTGGTGCCCTTGGCTATGGCAGTTATCTCTGCCACTGAAGCCTGTGAGAAAGCCTCGTTGCCTCCTTGCAGCCCCAAGGGAAGCGGGAAGCTGCTGTGCCATGTTTGTCCTGCACTCGGTGTCGAACACCCCACATCCCACGGTCCCAGGAATAGCCATGACCTGAGCATGAGGAACAGGACCCCCCTTCCCAGAGGCTGGAGGTCACAGCTTGGACTTTCTGCTTCATAAAGGAAACCAAGGGTTTTCTCAGCCCCAGAGCTGCTGCCCAGTGCCTTTGCCTGCCTGCAATCACAGCCGCCAATTATTTGCTCTGATGAGTCCATGGGGAGGCTTTTTCAATAATGTCCCTCAGTGAGGCCCATTAAGGCTTCAAGCAACTTTGTGGTTTTGCTTTTGAAAGGTTTGTTCAGTGCCTTCTCAGTACCTGGGCTTCATTGATTCAGCCCCAAATACACCACGGGGTCAATACAGTGACAAAAGTCCTAACAAGCCATGAATCCTCCATCATTTTATTCAAGTACTGATGACTTGTAGAGCTAGTTAGAGAGGTTTCAGGAGGGTAGGTTAAAGGAACATTTTCAATGACCACTCTGAAGAAGTGACAGAAGAATTCTCCAGTTTATATTATGCAGAGTGTCTCCTAAGGAGGTGGGGACAGGTAGGAAAAGCAGCTCCTTGAGGCTACACACAGTATGGACAACCTTGCTCCTCACCACTCCAAACTTGCTATTTCTCTCATTGGCCCCCCTGGGATTTACATCAATTTTCTTTACTTCGGATTTCTCCACTGAAGTCTGTACCTGATTGTGACAGCTTCTTCACAGCAATTTTTACCTGCTTTCCTTAGAGAACTGATGAAAACGGGCACAGAGGGTTTATTTTTATAACTGGGGAAAAGGAAAAAAGAAGAAAAATTAAAACACAATACAACTTAACACTAAAACACACTTCTCAGCTGTGAGTTTAAACACCATTGAATGAGGTCCATCAACACAACTGAGGATGGGGTGCTCAGGTTCACATTTCCTCTAGGAGACTCCACCTTGGATGATCACTCACTTTATGAGGCAGCACTCACAGCCCACCCGAACTTCAATACTACCCCCGGAGATCCCCTGAGCTCTCTCAGCAGCTCCTCAACCTTCTCCAGAATGGCATCTGCCATCACCCCACTGCAGCTGGGACAGCATAGGCACGTAAATCAAAGATCAGTTGCTGTCCCCGTGGACATGTGCAACCAAGAAAGGAGGTCTTTGTCCATCACTTGGTCCCTAACAGATCCCACTAGGATTCTGAGTTTGTCCCCCCGAATCCATCAAGAAGCTCAGAAGAGCAGAAGTCCTTATGAAGGAGCAGCTCCTTGGGGGTGTTCCCAACACCAGCTTGGGAAGAGGTATCCAGCCTTCTGGCCCTGCCCTGAGAAGCCCCTTTGGTTATGGGGGTGCTGGCATGGAGGCCAGCTCCGACACCGTGCTTCCCATGGCCTGCTCCTGCCTGCAGCCACAGGGATGTCACTGCGGACACACGGGGACTGTCAAAAGCTACACAAGAGCTTGGGGGTGACACAACTGCCGGGGCACAGCGGGACGGCGTGGAAGTGAGGAGAGCCCAGCCCTGCCAAGGCCACGTCCTGCTGCTGACCTTGGCCGTGGCTCCAGGGAAGCAGCAGCCCAGCTGCCAGGCAGCAGAGAGGAGCGAGGGGCAGCCCCGAGGGCCACGGGGGCTGCTCCTCCATGGGGCAGCTGGGCCCTGGGCTCCTGAGCCCCTTCTGCCTGCTGGGGCTGGGCCCCAAGCTCCAGAGGAGAGGTGAAGCTATTGGAGCTAAGACCATTTTCTGCTGGTTTCTTTATAGTGTTTATCTAAACAAGGAGCCTAGGTTCATATGTATATGACATTTTTGAGTCAAGAAATATACAGGTAGGAAACCAACAATACCATTATCCCAGTTATAAAGCAAAGAATAAAATTTAAAATATAACAAACAAAACAAAAACAAAAACCAAACCAAACAAACAAACAAAAAAAAAAAAACCAAAACCAAAAACCACCGAACCCCAAAACAAAACACAAAGGAATACAGACAGATGTGAAGAAAGCTTAGTCCTGGCATTTCCTGAGATACAGTGGGAGCCCAAGTGGGCTAATGGGAACCTTATGAATCTGAAGTAGCACATATACAAAGAGTATAGAAATTACACGATCAGGTCTAGTTATGGGGAGCAGGTAAGAGGGGGGCTTCAGGTAAGCAAAAGATAAACCCCTGACAAACAGGGAGAGCACGGCCAGGTGAGGGAGGCAGGTGGAAAAAAGGCTTTGTGCCGTCCCTGCTCAGAGGGGATCCTCAGCACAGCCCTGAGGATCTGCACATAGGACAGCACAATGAAAACAACAACAACAAAAAAAAAACCCACCCAAATCCAAAAACCAAACAGGCACTAACCACAAGAATCCTACATTCCCTGATGCAGAAATCTGAGCAGGAGAGCTTGAGGATCTGGGGGATTTCACAGAAGAACTGGTCCAGAGCACTGTCTTGGCAGAGTGGTTGTGAGAATGTGTTGGCAGTGTGCAGGAGAGAAATGAGCAGCCCAGTGCCCCAGGCAGCTGCTGCCATGTGGACACAAGCTCTGCTGCCCAGGAGGGTCCCGTAGTGCAGGGGTTGGCAGATGGCAACGTAGCGGTCGTAGGACGTGACAGTGACATCTGGTCATCCATCTAGTTGACCAAGGAAAGCCAGTGGACGTGGGGTTTCTGGATTTTAGCAAAGCTTTTGATACTGCCTGTCACAGTGTCCTTCTGGATAAACTGCCCAGCACACAGCTAGACGAGTCTATAAGATGTTGGGCGAGCGACTGGCTCAGAACACAGTTGACTTTCTGGGCTGCAAATGCACATTTCCAGGTCACACTGAGCTTCTTGTCAACCAAGAACCCCCAAGTCCTTCTTCGCAGGGCTGCTCCCCATCCACTCCTCACCCAGCCTGGATTTGTGTTTGGGATTGCCCCAATCCACGGGCAGGACCTTGCCCTTGGCCTTGTTGAACTCCACGAGGTTTGCACGGGGCCACCTCTCCAGCCTGCCCAGGTCCCTCTGGATGGCACCCCTTCTCTCCAGCCTGTCACCACACAGCTGGGTGCCGTCGGTGAACTTGCTGAGGGTGCATCGATCCCACTGTCCGTGTCACCGACAGCGCCGGGCCCAGCACCAACCCCTGAGAAACGCCACTCGTCACCGCTCTCCACTTGGACATCGAGCCGTTGACCACAGCTCTTTGAGTGCGACCCGCCAGCCAATTCCTTATCCATCAAGTGGCCCATCTGTCAAATCCATGTTTCTCCAATTTAGAGACAAGGATGTCACGTGGGACAGCGTCAAATGCTTCTGTATTAGTGATGTTCATTCTGCTGTGGGTGTACCTATATGTCCTGGGTTGAGTGAGTGGTGGAGTTTTTTGGTGGCAGGGGAGGGGGCTATCGGGGCGGCCCCCTGGGAGAAGCTTCTCGAAGCTCCCCCAGCTCCACGTCAGCTCCACTTCTGTTTGGGAAATTGAGCCAATCGGCTGTGCCTCTGTGATAACGTATTTAAGAAGGGACGTGGTGACGGGCAGTGGGACTGGTGAGGAGGAGTTGCTGCAGCTGCATGAACACCAAGGTCAGTGGAGGAACGGAGGAAGAAAGGAGGGGGGAGGTGTGCCGGAGCAGAGACCCCCCTGTATCCTGTGGGGAGACGGCAGGGCGGCCCCCCCCTGCCACCCATGAAGATCTACGGTGGAGCAGACACTGATTTACAGCCTGTTGTTCCTGCTCGGCTGATCAAGGTTCTGTGCCCGAAGAAGGCCGGGGTCTCATGGGAAAAGGCAGCCCCACTGCTGTAATTCAGTGCTGGGAGGATTGCAGCATGCGGGGGAGTCCCACGCCGGAGCAGCTCGGGAAGGGCTGCAGCCGTGGGAGGGAATCCTGTCGGAGGAAGTTAGTGACCCGCGACGGAGCAGTGTGGGGAACGCTGCGGCCCGTGGGAGGGACTTATGTCAGAGAAAGTTTGTGGAGGACTGTCTGCTGTGAGAGGGGGACCACGATGGAGCAGGGGGAACAAGTTTTGGACACTCCCCTCACCGAACATGAAGGAAGTGGCAGCGCTGACTGCACCCCCCATTCCCTGCCCCTGCGCCACTGGGGGAGGAGGTAGAGATATCGGGAGCAGAGCTGAGCCCGGGAAGAAGGGAGGGGTGGGGGGAAGATGTTCTCAAGATGTGGCAATGCTTCTCACTGTCCTACTCTGTTATGTGTTGTTAGTGTCTGTAATAAATGTATGTTCTTTTTTTCTTCCCCTAACGAGTCTGCCTTTTGCTCGTGATCATAAAAGGGGGATTTTCCCCCATCCCAGTCCTATCTTGAACCCCAAGCCTGGCTCTCTGTCCCTTCTCATTGCCGGAGGGGAAGGGAGAGAGAGGTGCTGCACTGTGGTTGGCTGCCAATCAGGCCTAAACCACAACACTATAGAAACCTTTCTTGTTGACCTTCACAACCCTTGCCAGATTCAACTCCGTTAGGGCCTCCTTTTCGCTTCGGCATTTCGTCAGGGCTTCTTGTTCCTCCATGAAAGCCTCCCGCCCCTTTTGCCTTTTCGCCTGCTCATCAGGCTGGACGGTCGTTGAGCTTGGAGGATGGGAAAAAAAGATTTTTCTTCTGTTTGAAAAGTCCTGAAGTGAAAAGTCCAGCACCTGGAGAGGTATCCCCCCGTGCACCAGCACATGCTGGGGACAGCACGTTTGGAAAGCAGCACTTGAAGCCCCCTGCGAGGCTGCAAGCTGGGATCGGAGAACTCAGGGCTGTGTCTCAGCTGGGGACTGGTCCTGGCACAGGGCTGCACCACAGAGTCTCCGGTGTCTCTGCCACCGCAGGTGGGTCAACGGAGAGGAGCAAATCCTTCCTTCTGTGCCACCCCTGCCACCCAGTCTGTCTGTGTCACATCTGTCCCCGACTGCAACACCAGGAGCAAGGAAGAGGCCGGCAAGTGCCTTTCCCCTGGAGGTGCCTTGGGCTCTGATGGCAGAAGCGGGGCGGTGGCAGGGCCACGGGATGGGAAAGAGGGGATCCTGGGCTTGGGAGTGCCCGCAAAGCCTCATCCAGGCACCAGGCTTCCCCCTTGCACCCACCTGCCCGCCAGCATCCCTGGGGTGGAGTAAAGGATGGCTTCCCCTCTCCTGGGGGGTAGGGGTGCGGGCTGGCTGAGGGACCCTCCCCTTCCCGCAGCACCAGGGACTGTCCCCACAGCCACAGTGCACCCCAGGACCCCTTCACCCCAGGGCTGTGCAGTGCAGCAGGTGAGAACTCGCGGCCAACAACCGAAAGCTTGATGGTTCAGTCCCCCCCGGGACAGGGCTGTGCAGCTGGGGGGGGGGGGGTGTGTGTGTGCTGGCCGACGGTCTGGATCTGTCCCAGCTGAGCACCTTCTTGGCAAAGGTGCTGGGGGAAGCCAAAGCTGGACCACACTGACTGTGATCCCCCCGGGGTGTGATGGTGGTTGAGCGGATGGACCACTCCCCGCTCACTGCTCTGCAGACGTGGGCGCCAATCCTACCCCCACCAGTGACTCTCCTCTTTCTGCCCCCAAAACAACTTAGAAGGAGGGTCTTTTGGGGCACCGGCAGTCTTGCATCCACCAGCCCTGCAGACAAGCATCTTCAAACCCGTTCTCCAAGCTGGCAGGACAATAACCGTGCTTGGACGGACGTGCCCATCCTCTCCTCCCTCCTCACGCTTGTGCTCAGTCGCAGCAAAAGCCAGACTTCTCCGGAGGAGCCTCCCTGCGGGGTGAGTTATGGAACAGCAGCTCTGCCAGAGGCTGGGATGTGCGTGCGGCTGTGGGATTCTGGCCGGTCTGAGCACACGCCTTGGCCTGATGGTTTCCCTGGGGAGGGGGAGAGGGATGTCCTGGGTCGCCGTCCTGGTCAAGCTCCTGGTGGGAGAGCCACGTTCACCTGCAAAAGGATCCAGAGGAGGACGGAGCTCACAGCTTCACGAGCAGGACGTTCTCCCGCTGTGGGGGGACCGGGGGGCTGCAAGGGACCGCAGCCGGGATGGACAGTGAAGGCTGGCGGGTGGCTAGATTATTGATTTGGCAACAGCTGATGTGCTCGTGCTGTCAGCCCTTGGTCCGGCGCTGAGGGGACGGAGAACACAGAAGTGAAGTCTGGGTGCGGTGTGCAGGAACGGCGGGAGGGAGGTCAATTCAGAGAAGAAAGATGATGCCTGTCTCCGAGCTGCGGCCGCTCTGAGGTCACGGTGTCCCTGTTAGACCCCGAGGAGTCACTGCTGGCACCTCTCAGCCACCTCGGCCCTTTCAGTGAGAAGGAGCTGATGCAGAGAGCTGTTCACTGCGGGTCTGTCCGTGCCGTTTCGCTCCCTGCTGATACCCAGAGAAAGGCAAGTATGTAGTTCATCCAACATTGCGGCACGGAGCAAAGGGACCGAGAAACTCTGCTCAGGAAAGCTGGTGATTAGGCAAGGCTGGTGCTGCAGAGGAGATGATCCTCCCCCCACAGGAGCTGGGTCTGGGCACCCAGGCAGAGGTGAGGGAGTTTTTGTGCAAGTCCGGCAGCAGAGCGGGGTGACAAGGGACGTTGGAAGCTGCCACTGACTCCAGCAAACCCAGTCCAGGACCCCCTCGGGGAGCTGGGGGTCTCTGCCCGGGACGAGGGACAGAGCTGCTGCTTTCCCCTTTTGCCTGTTCAACCAGCAGCAAAGCCGAGCACGTGTCCCAGAGACACACAGACACAGGCACAGGACGCACAGACAGTCACACGGCCTGCCACAGCCATTCACGCCACAGTGGCTGGAGATTAAAGACTCCCATTTGCTCCGGCAGTTGCACTGGGACCCCCCCCCCCCACCACCACCACCACCAGGATCCCTGAATTCACTCCGGTAGCTGCACTGGAACTCCACTCACTCAGCCCAGCGGTGCTCACCCCGGTACCCGGCACCAATTTTCACTCCCGCACAGATCTCACCACCAGCTGGCACCTCGTCCTTGCAGCACTAAGTTAGGACAGAGAGGGGGAGAGTGAGAGCGCCAAGACAGGACAGGATAGAGTGAGATTCTACAGAGAGATCGTTAAGTCAGGGGATTTAAGAGGTAGATAAAATGAGAGGTAGGAAGAAGACAGGACAGGCTGTGGCAAGCAGGGACAGGGCTCACCAAGGAGGGCACGGGCTTCCCTGTTTTCCCCACAGCTGGCCCCTGCTGCACCCCTTCCTCTCTGTCCCTCCTTTGCTGGCTTGCTCTCCCCAGCCCCTTTCCCCCCCGCTCCGCTCCTTCACCGGTTTGCAGAGTCTCACCGCCCCCCTCCTACATCCCCGACCCTCGGGTTTGCATCCTGATCTGCACGTTTCAATCGGACGACTAAAACTGATTTAGTGCTAAAACGTCCTGGGTGTTTCCTTTACACAGAGAGAGCCTGCCCTGCACTGCATCTCTTTAAATGATTAACTCATTTATTTCGCACAAGTTAAAGCCACAGTCGTCTAAGTAACAGTTCCTTCAAGGGGGTAGTCTTGAAAAATCCTAAAGCAAGTTTCACCATGCTTCTTTGAAAAAAATCAGGGCGGGTGATTGCTCTTCTGAGGCATGATGCAGAAGCTATCTGCCGTGCCTTGCACTGATCTTGTCTTCAGAAAGCCAGACGAGCCAAAATTATCACCAGACGCAACTGAACGGTTTCTATTTGTTCTCGAGCTCTGTGTATGTGTCCCTTCTTTTCCTTTATAGTACAGTTAGATAGTCGTAGAAAGGTAACTCAGTACCCTTTTGTGACATGGCAAATCGTAATATTTGATGTGTTTACCTACAGAAGTCAAATTAAAAGCCTCCAAGACTTTGAGCAGATACGGCTTTATAATTAAAAAGTAATTGCAAATTTGAATGAGGTAATATTTGTGCTACCTACGAATGTTCTTTTATGGCAGTAGCTTCAGTAACTTGCACCACATCGATCCCTGAAGAAAATTCAAGTTGCTTTCCATTTCTAAAATCGAATAGAAATGTTCATTAGCAAGTGCTAGAATACTGCTTGTTCCTAATAACACACCAACAAAAAACAAACTGTAAAACATAATTACTACTGAAAAAATAACACCTCGGCCTAGATTAGAGTTGCTAGCTTCAAGGCATGATATAGTATTCTTATTGTGTTTACTTGCTAATTTATACATTTCAGTGACAAGCATCAGATATTGTGATAGTATAAAAGAGGGGATTCTAGTCTAACAGTGCAATGGACTGAAGAGTTCATAATGTAGTAAAAGGAAACAGAGGAATAGTGAGTAAGTACATTAGAGTTGCTACAAGAGTTCAAGGAAATAAAAAGGAAAGAGAAATGCTGTGTTTCCTTCTGTAAGAAAGGCTAAAAATGCTAGATGCACCTGACAAACTTCTACCTGTTGTCATTTGTTAGGTAAACAACTTGGAAACTCAAGGTTCAAGTGGCTCAGGCTTTGACAGTGTCGTGGTTTAGGCCTGGTTGACAGCCAACCACAATGCAGCACCTCTCTCTCCCTTCCCCTCCGGCAATGAGAAGGGACAGAGAGCCAGGCTTGGGGTCCAAGATAGGACTGGGATGGGGGAAAATCCCCCTTTTATGATCATGAGCAAAAGGCAGACTCGTTAGGGGAAGAAAAAAAGAACATACATTTATTACAGACACTAACAACACATACCAGAGTAGGACAGTGAGAAGCATTGCCACATCTTGAGAACACCTTCCCCCCACCCCTCCCTTCTTCCCGGGCTCAGCTCTGCTCCCGATATCTCTACCTCCTCCCCCAGTGGCGCAGGGGCAGGGAATGGGGGGTGCAGTCAGTGCTGCCACTTCCTTCATGTTCGGTGAGGGGAGTGTCCAAAACTTATTACCCCCTGCTCCATCGTGGTCCCCCTCTCACAGGAGACAGTCCTCCACAAACTTTCTCTGACTTGAATTCCTCCCATGGGCCGCAGTGTTCCCCACACTGCTCCGTCATGGGTCACTAACTTCCTCCGACTGGATTCTCTCCCACGGCTGCAGCCCTTCCCGAGCTGCTCCGGCGTGGGACTCCCCCACGTGCTGCAATCCTCCCAGCACTGAATTACAGCAGCGGGGCTACCTTTTCCCACGAGACCCCGGCCTTCTTCGGGCACAGAACCTTGATCAGCCGAGCAGGAACGACAGGCCGTAAATCAATGTCTGCTCCACCGTAGATCTTCATGGGTGGCAGGGTGCCATCTCACCACAGGATACAGGGGGGTCTCTGCTCTGGCACACCTCCCCCCTCCTTTCTTCCTCCGTTCCTCCACTGACCTTGGTGTTCATGCAGCTGCAGCAACTCCTCCTCACAAGTCCCACTGCCCATCACCACGTCCCTTCTTAAATACGTTATCGCAGAGGCGCAGCCGATTGGCTCAATTTCCCAAACAGAAGTGGAGCTGACGTGGAGCTGGGGGAGCTTCGAGAAGCTTCTCACAGGGGGCCGCCCCGATAGCCCCCTCCCCTGCCACCAAAAAACTCCACCACTCACTCAACCCAGGACAGACAGATTGTTCATATCACTCTTTTCCTGAATATTTAGCAGCGTTGGGGATTTCTTACCGTACCCCTTGAGGTGAACTAAACACGTTTGTGCTTAAATAAAAGAATGGGCAACGCATGGGGCAGAGTCCTACCCACCGTAAGCGGTTCTACCAGGAACATGCAGAGGTGGGGCAGGAGCCTGTTCCTGGCACGCCCTGGGACCAGCACCCACCCCGCCAGCATCAGCACCCCAGTCTGGGGGCCCTGAGCTCACTTTGCATTCCAGGACAGGCTGCTAGACCGGCCCGCTTCTCACCTCCTCACCAAAGGAAACTCCTCCCTGGCATTCCTGCTTCCAGCCAGCGTAATTCCCCTTCCACAGCCGGACCGTCTCACCCTCTGTGTACCAGGTCATTCCTTTTGTCACAAATTATAAAAGCTGGTTGCTTACCGAACTGACGATGGATCTGAATCTTGAAGGTGCCTAGAAATAAGGTCTTGATTCTGAGCACTGTCTTCCCGCAGCCAGGAAATTTCCTTAGTATGTGGCATCCTTACAGGTGTTCAGGCACCGGACTCGGCTGCAGTTGTTTGCTACCCAGGAGAGCGTGTATCACCTGTGCCATTACCTTTCCATACAAATACTAAACCCACCTATCTGCCTCTAGAACTGTGTTGGGCGTGTGATTCTAGTTACCGTACCCACAGTAAAACCCAGGCTCCTCATCAAAAAAAAACCCAAACTTGTTAAAAACTTTATTGGTAAAATGGGATTAACATATCTCCCTACATCACATGGCTGTTGTGATGATAGATCAGCTGAGGAATACCGAGATACAAGGTATGCAGAAACCATACAAACAGGAGATAAATAATACATTAATAGAAAGTGAGTTGCTCGGGAATTAAACTCCCACACCATAGTCAGAAACATGATATATGGAGCAGAACCCTCTATAAAGTGGCACACAGAACACGGGCTTGAGAGCTGACATTTAAAAGCCCCAAAGCCACACAATCCCATGTGTTTGAGACCGCATTTAAAACAGGAAGAACATGTGAAAATCTTCAAGAAATATTTCAGTAATGTAAGGTTACAACTTATTCAACTACCTTTAAAGTAGAGGAAGAAAAAATCCACTGATATTGGAGTGGAAAATCAGCAGTCACTAAGTCAGTAAATGCCTGGAGTCATGTCAGTACGAAGCCTGTGCAAGATTACAGTCAGCTTCTTTTTAATCTGCTGACATACGTGCCAAAAAAATACCTCTTACACAGCTAGCTTCTTACTGAAGTGTTTCTGCTGCATTAAGTGCAAAATCAGCGCTCACAGCTGTCAGTAACAAACCAAGAGATCAAGACTCAAACACAACAAGACAATAACGGCGCTAAAACTATTTGGCACACCTTACTTTGACCTGTTACACAAAATAAAATGCTATCCAAAATCCAGCTGGCAGAGAAGGGCTTTGTATTTTGGCGATTCTGTTAAAAAATTAATACCAAAAAAAAAAAAAAAAGGTTGTTCGCACAGAAATCAAAGTAGCCATTTCTCTTAGAAGTGTTAGTTCAAAAAAAGACTGAAATAACACTGCTTTACAGGATACTATCCAAAAAAGCGTGTTTCAGAACACTGCAGGTAATTTTGCTTTAGCGGCCAGAACCAGGCCTGTCCCTAACAGCGTTTTACACAGCTCCACCCCGCACCCATCACTCTGGCGTCCCAAATACAGACTGGCATTAAAGCTTTGTACTAAAAACTCATTTTAAAAGCCTAGCTACGCCAGGCAATTTAATTATTTTGCGGTAACGAGCCCCAAAGGTTGCCAGAACGAGACTCACTCCGGGCACACGCCGTGCAGGGAAAGGAAAAAAAAAAAAAAAAAAACGAAGCGGAGGCCGAGGCGGGCTGGCAACCCCGGCCCCGATTCGCCTCCAGAAGCGGGTGTATGGTATGGCCCCCCACACACACACACACCCCACACCCCCCCGGGCCGGGTACAGGCGGCAGAGCGGGTGCAGCCACGTCCCCGCGGGACCGCGAAGCTGCGAGGCCCACGGTGAACCAAAGGCCCCGCGGCCGGGGCGGGGCGGGCCCCGCAGGCCTCTCCCCGGCACCGCCCCCCCCCCCCCCCACACACACACACACCCCCCGGCCCAGGCCGCGCATGCTCGGGAGCCGCCGCCGCTCACCACAAGATGTCCGCCTGCGGAGCCAGCCGGGTGAGGGGCTCCGGGGGGAGACACTGAGGCGGGAGGGCGAGGCGCCGCCATTACCGGCCTGAGGGCGGGCGGGCCGGCCGCCGCCATTACCGGCCTGAGGGCGGGAGGGCCGCCGCCATTACCGGCCTGAGGGCGGGAGGGCGAGGCGCCGCCATTACCGGCCTGAGGGCGGGCGGGCCGCCGCCATTACCGGCCTGAGGGCGGGCGGGCGCGCCGCGGCCGAGGACCCCAAGGCCGCGGGGTCTCGGCCCCTCCCGCCCGCTTCCCCTCACGGCCTCGGCGCCGCCTTTCCCGGCGCGCACCCGGTAAAAGCGGTTGCCTGAAGTACTAACGTTCCCGTTAGGAATTCAGAGTGTTACTTACACAAGGGGTCGCGGTAGCACCGGTAACACACACACCCGCTCCCCCCCCCCCCCCCCCCCGGCTCCAGAGTCGCTCCGGATTTGGGGGTAAAAATGAAGGACGCGGGGTCAGGGAGGTTGATGGAGCGGGCAGGTGGTCACCCAAATCCTCTCGTGAACCGCGGTTCTTTGTCACCCCTTTGTGCCACCTCCAGGTACGACGCCCACCCCCCTTCCCCCCATTCCAATCCATATTTCTGTTTGTTGGGGGAGCGTTGGGGGTTTTTTCCAGAGTAACCTTCAGTGTTGGCCTCGCACACCACCAAGGTATGAAAACCATGATAGGCTTCAGTTCCCTAGCATAAACGTGGCAGCTTGTTTTGATACCTGTGAACGAAGATTATTAGAAAATAGATATTTGTAGAACGGAATTATTAGGATCAATTTGAGCTGTTTTAACCACTGTGCTGCAGAACAAATACTAACCGTTTGAGAAATAGAATAACTGTAAGATAAGGAACTCATAGATGATCTTGAGACGGTTTGGCCTTGTAGTAGCAGGTGCAAAGAAACGTAATGAAGCTGCAAATTAACAACCAGACCAGGCCAGCCTGGAGGGACAAGATCTACGTGACCACAGGCAGCAGTCAGGGTCAACTGGCAGAGACAGTGAAGAAGACTACGAGCCTTCACCTGAAGAACCCCCGACGACCACCAGAAGCCTCCAACAGACATTAACATACGCTATTGCATTCCTGGAAAAGTTAGGAATAGGATAAAAATGCAATGAATGTGTATGATTAAGGTAGTATAAATGCTTGTTGATTCTGTTTTCGGACACACGCATTAGGAGGAGCTCTCCCCTGTGTGTCCAGTGCTGTAATCAAGAATGCCTGCTTTCTAAAACTCCAAAATTGAGTCTTAGAGAGTGAATTAATTATCACTTCCCGGTAACAGTTTCGTGTAGGGTATCACCTTGAGTGTTATTTTGAAATTGGGAGTTTTTCTAGTTTAGACAAAACTTCTTGGTGGCAAAGCTACATGTCTGGATCACCCTCAAGGAAGAAAAAACACAAACCAAACACAATACCTGGCTTTTTTTCAACCCCATCTTCTTCTTGTCTGTTTCCAGATAAAATAAGGTATAAAGTGTTTGGGAAGATCGAGTTCTTTCTAGATGTTTGTTGGTATTGTTAGATCGGTTTGTTTTTCTACATAAGGGTGGTGGCAGGTAGGTAAGAAAGCTTAGGTGAGAAGGTAAAACCTAGGTAAGAAAGCAACATACCATTTTATAATGGCTGTGGCTTGTGAAAACTCCAAATGAAGAACACGTTGCTACTGGAAAATACAGTCCTGAACTATGAATACACTCACGCTCGGCAGTTCAGTATTCAATGCTTCTATGCCCAGCAGTGGTCTTTCTGCATCTCTTCACCTTTTAACTTTATAGGTGCTTTCGGTATTCTCTGAAAATACTTTTTTTTTCACTGTGTTGATACTTACTCTTGCCTGTGCTCTTCAGGTTTCATCGTGCAGTTGTGCTGCAGTCAGGCTTTATGAGCCTTGAGCTGCAAAGGTCTTGCACCTCATGTTCTTTTTTTCTTCAGCAGATGCTCCGGACTGTTGCAGGGCGTGGGTGGAGATCCTGGTCTAGTAAACCTGCTCAAAACGTACATACGAGCAAACCCGGAGCTGGCTTTAGCTTTGGTAAGTATTGCAGTTTTTGAAAGAAATAAACAGTTAACGACAAATTGCAGAGTTAGGGAAAAAAAGACAACAAAGCAAAGTAACTATTTTACAGTTCAGTATGAATTTACAATGAAGGTGTTTATTCTGAATAGATTTCTATCCTTTTTTAAAAAAAATATTCAAAAACCAAAATTACTTTCTTCTCCAGCTCAGGAAAGCCAGGTATGTGTGTGACATTTATGAGAGCTTCATCTTTTTTTAATTAAGGTCTGTCTTGAGCTTTTTTTTTTATTGCCAAAGTCACCTTAGCTTTGGGTAATTATCTCACACTGGCTTTTAAAACGTTAAAATAACTGTATGTAGGCTTAGTTGAAGTTGGTTATAAAGAAACGTTATAAAGAAATTCATCCTCATCTTGGCATATTATATATGTAAAAGCAAATTTAGGGGGTCAGCAGCTAGATGTTTGAAACTGAGTAATCAGAATCGTCAAATAAGGAACATTTACCTGCCTCCATCTCCTCCTTCATTTAATTAGCACAGCATGCTTCTTTTGGTAGTACATTTTATGTTACATGGCACCTCCTACTTCATTTTCAGCATTTTTTGAATAAATTTTGTCAGAAGTAAGGAAGTGTATTGTAGGCGTCGATTAGAGATGAATGGAGGTTTTCTCTAGAGAGAAGGAGGGAGTTGAGCTGCTTTGGTTAATGCAGAGGCTATCAAGGTTGGTCCTGGTGGTTTGGATTGTCCTGGAAGGAACTGAGACTTGTTTTCTCATAGTCTGACAACCAGAAAAATTTGTGACGTTTTTTCCCCTCTTTTTTTTTTTTTTTTTTTTTTTTAATAGAACTTACTGATGAACAGAAAGAGTTTCAAGCTACTGCTCGTAAATTTGCTGTGGAGGAAATTATGCCCGTTGCTTCACAATATGACAAAACTGGAGAGGTAAACCTACCATACAGTAGGGGAAAAAATATATTTTTATCTTACCCTGTATAAAATTTAAGATGTTAACTGTGATGAATCAGACAGTGATTTTCCCTGTCTATTTCAGTATCCTTTTCCGCTCATAAAACGGGCTTGGGAACTTGGTCTTATAAATTCACACATACCAGAAAGCTGTGGTAAGTGAACATTCTTTTTAATCTGTAAAATAAAACACAGAAAAGGCCTTAGAGGAGATTTATACGTGTAATTATGTATTCTGCATAAAGTGAACAGCTGTATACTTGAGTAATCTGAATTAGTAGGCAGGTTGACACATAGAAATGTTACTAGGGGTGAATGTAATCAGGCAACAAATAAATCACAGATTTAGTAATTTATGACCAGATGCTCTACCGTGATTACAGTTGCCTAATGTTCCCCTGGTGCACTGTGTCAGTTGATGAGGCAGAGAAATTAGAAGGTCGTATTTTGATCTGGTCTCTGACGCAGAGATGAGATCAAAAATTTAATACACAAGGTTAAGGAACAAAGAGATAAAAGGAGTAATTGTGAGGGTCACATATACATGATGTGCTAGGTTGGCAGTGGGAGGAAAATAAGGAAAAGATTCCATCTCTGTGGGACCCGAGTTGGGTCCTGGTGACCTCCTAAGACCGTATTTCTGAAACCTAGTGATTGGCGTAAGCAGGAATTTATAAAGTGGACCAAATTAGCTTCCCAGGGCCGTGGGATTGCTAACTTTGAGAGGGATAAGATCAGTAACAGCTGGCTAGAAAGATACAGGGGCATTCCTCGGAGAAAGATTGTCACCGCTTTACAACTACGGGCCAACGTCCACCCCACGAGAGAATTCCTAGTGAGGGGTAGGAGAGACGTAAGTGAGATCGTGTCGTCACTGTGGGGTGGAAATTGAGAGCTGTTCACTTATCATTGGATACTGCCCGGCGGTGCAAGATGCTAGAATAAAAAGACATAACCAAATTTGTGAATTATTAATTGAGGAGGCAAAGAAAACGGAATGGATAGCATTCCAAGAACCATTGATTCGAGATGAGAAAAAAAGAATTATTTAAACCCGATTTGGTATTTGTAAAAGAAGAGATAGCAATAGTAGTAGATGTAACCATTAGATATGAAAGTAAGGAAACATCCTTAGAGGATGAGGCAAAAGAGAAAATTAAGAAATATCAGCATTTGGAAGACCAGATTCAGGAACTGACTAATGCAACAACTATTAAATTTATGGGCTTTCCCTTGGGGGCGCGAGGCAAGTGGTAGCAGGGTAATTACAACTTGTTAATGGAATTAGGACTCTCTAGTTCTCGGCAGGATAAAGTTGCACGTCGATTGTCTAATCGTGCATTGGTTTCTTCTGTGGACATTATTTACATGTTTAGTAGTAAAGTAAGAACTGTAGAAAATGTTTAATTGTATTATCACATTGTAGTTGTAATATCTGTGCATTGTATTACTTTCAAAAAAAGAAAATGGTAGGAAGAGTCAACATGGAAGGATCATGGCGGGGTTAGATCAGGTGGGAATATGATCAGAGTACTGGAATTCTAACATAGTAGGTGGGGCCTTGTTCTTTTTTTGGCGCGTCTTTAAAACCAAAATTGACATTAATAATTGGACTTGACTAAATTTTCACCAATTTGGACCCAGGTGGACGGGCCACCTTTACTTAACTCGGAAAAGAAACATATATAAATGATATGTGCTTGATAAATAGCCAAATGCCTCGTCATCTAATTAGTCTTCCTAAAGGGTCTTCCTAAAAGGAAGTTAGGACACAAAAAAATAATTGAAGTTCTTTGAAGTAGGATCACAGAACCGTTTGGGTTGGAAGGGACTTTTAAAGATCATCTGGTCCAACCCCCAGTAGCTAAGAAGTGTGCGAACAAGGGATGCCTGGTTGGTATAAAATGCTTGAACTCCAGAAATTAATTTGAAAACTCGTCAGGTTTCGTAGTGGAAAACTCAGCAGCACAGTCTTGCTGGTGCTTGTGCTGTTTGGCAGATCCATAAATAATCTGGAAAAGGAGGTCAGTAGTGAGGTCACAGAGTTAACTGATAATACAAAAGTTCTTCGGTATAGAAAAGATGGGGCCGGTGTGAAGAGCTCTAGGAGAAGGTCATGAAACTGAGTGACTCTTAAAAAGGCAGATGAAACTCAAAATAGGAAAAGTGATGCACACAAGGAAGGAAGCAGTCAAGTCTTCCCAGATAAAATGGTGTCTTCTGAACTAGGTACTAACTCTGAAAAAAACCTGTATTTTTGGGGTTATAATACATAGTTCTGTGAAGATGTCAGCATAATACTCAGAAGTGGTCAAAGCTATAAATTTAAGGTCAGAAATTAAGAAGGGAATGCAGAAAAAAGCAGCAGCCCTAATTATGCTGCTGCTTGAATCCGACTTGCACTTGCCTCTCTTACTTGTTCTACAGTCCCATCCTTCCACCTCCAAAGGATAATTGTGGAAATGGAGGAGTTTCCAAAAAGGAGGATAAATGTGATAAAACATAGGTAACACCTTCTGTATGAGAAATGCCTAAAATAGGTGAAGCGTGTAAGAAGGGACTGACAGTTCCTCGTCCCCTGCGGTACAACCAGAAGGCAGCAGATGAAGTCAGCAGACAGCAGGTTCAGAATATATGAAAGGAGATGGTTCTACACTCAGTGCACAGTTAATTTGTGAAACTCGTTGCCCCTCGATGTTACTGATGCTAAAACTGTACACAGGTTCAAAAGGAGACTGGGCAAGTTCGCAGAAGAAATGTCTGTCATAACAAAGATACCAAAGAAACTTTTGGCTGAGAAAGTCACCTTGAAGGCAGGGAAGAATATTTTGAAGAAGTATTTCTGTATTGTTCCTCTGGTTTTATGCACTTCCTAAACTGTTGGCCTCTATCAGAAACAGGTTACTGGGTTTTTGGTTCTTATTCCTATGTGCTGTGGTATCTCAGGAGCCCTTGTGGCCCTTTCTCTGCCTCCTCAGAACTCTGAAGGAAATTGTCAGATGTAAAGTAGCCAAAAGATCCCAGTGGTATGTTCTTGCCATTGGTGCGGCGTGTCCCACGCCAAGCGCACAATCGCCCTGGAACTATGAAATGTAACTTTGAAATCATCTGTTACTAATCTGACAAAACAGTATTTTAAAAGCTTGCATGGGAATGTCTACTCAAACACAGTGCACAGGGGAATATGGTTTTGATAATTGATTTTTGTAAGCCACTAATACGTTCCACTTTAAACTCATTTTAGTCAGTGAAATATTTCAACTGTAGGTGGTCTCGGCCTTGGCAGTTTTGAAGCATGCCTCATTACGGAAGAGTTAGCTTATGGATGTACAGGGGTTCAAACTGCCATTGAGGCAAACTCCCTAGGGGTAAGTTCTGTCTTTTCTTACCTCCTTTAAACTAGAGACTGTGTCCTTTAAAAAGATGGATTAACAGTCTAAATATTTTATTTCAGCAAATGCCAGTAATCATTGCAGGAAATGAGCAGCAGCAGAAAAAATATTTAGGAAGAATGACAGAGGAGCCAATGATGTGTGTAAGTATAACTTAGGAACGCTCTAGACTGTTCCTAAATTGTATTAATCATGGTTTTGTTTTGTTTTTTAAAACACTGATGTCTGCTCAAAACATAACCTGTTTTGGTTTGCAGATAAACAGTGGCATTTACTGAAAGTCAGGGAATATTGAATTAGATGCGTTCAATAAGCAAACAACAGATCTAACCTGGAAAACCATCCTAAGTCACTTATTGAAAATTAATACCTTTTATTTCCTTTTCAAGAGAAGCTGTAGGTGTGTAAGAAAAATGCAAGGTTTCCGCGCACAAACTCAGCTCGGCTGGGCGTTAAACCGCGTTTATGAATCTTAAATATTACCTAAGCAGTGTCTGTTACATAGAAGGAAGTAAAGATTCATATGCAATGCATTAAAATCTGAACAACTAAGCCTCATAAAATGAAGAGCCTGGTAACCATAAAGTGTTACTCTGCTCTTATTTTCAGATTTGAAGGATCCTCAGCTTTCATAGCAGAGTCTGTGAAGCATAAGGAAGTGATGACTTATTAAAAGTTAACAGAATGCTGCTGCTTATCATTAAAAGACATTTTAAAGTATTGTTATGGATTTAGAAGGAAAATTAACCCATACATGTTTGGATTCTTGCTCAGACAGTTGTTGGTTTTTTTCGATGTACTATTTTTGGGTTTTCCATGCAGTTCACTTAAAACTTTTACAGATCAGTTGGGTGCACATAATTCTGCAATAATTAATGGTTGGTTAAAAACAGAGCTTTTATTCCTCAAGATTTTGTATTTCATTTTCTTTTAGGCTTACTGTGTAACAGAACCTGGAGCGGGCTCCGATGTGGCTGGTATACAAACAAAGGCTGAGAAGAAAGGAGATGAGTATGTTATTAACGGCCAGAAGATGTGGATCACAAATGGTGGGAAGGCAAACTGGTGTGTTGACTTTTGACTCGCGTTCCATTTTCTGTAATTCTGTTCTGTAGTGACGTGTGTGTCCCCAAGCTAGATACTAGTGTTGCCTTGAAAGAGCTGTTACAAATCTGAACACTGGTTATGGTCACCCCTCTACACTTTAATCCGTGACCAGTTTCTCAGGACGAGGTATGAGAAAGCAGTCTCAGGGCTGTGCAATGCCTAAAAAGGAAACTGAGTGACAACATGACAGCTCCATCCAAGGATACCTCTCAATTTTTGCTTCTACCAAAGAAAATTAATTCTGCTTTCTCTTCAGGGAGGGGCAGCAACAGAAAGAGTTAACTTGCAAAGTACTCAAGAGGCTCACATTACAAGTCACCTTGCTTGTGGTTGTGGTGACTGAGATCAGTTGCATCTGAGCCTGCCAGAAACATCTCTGGCTTTCAGCGAGGATAGAAAAACTCTAGGATTGTAGTGTTACATTTTTTTCTTACTGGAAGACATTTTCCAAGTGTCCAGATTTTGCTGCAGCGTCTGTGGAGGTGCTTACTAATACAGACGTTTCTTGCATAAGATCATGCTCATCCCCCAAACATAAATTGTTTTTAACTCAAGAGGAAAAACTTTATACATTTACGTATAAATTCTTGTTATTTATTTCCTTGTTTGAGGCAGAACCTTTAAAGAGAATCCAGCAGTTATCTTTTGATGTTACTGGACATCATAAATGTGATTTATAATTGTTTCATTTCTAACAGGAAAAAACTTACTTAAAACTTAGAATAATAAAATTAAGATATTTGAAATCGAGAGGATAACATTTTGTGTGCAATACCGTATTTCCTAAGCCATAATTTTTACTTATGTGCTGTGAATAGTTTTTTTTAGTACTATTTGTGAAGCTGATTGCAATATTAAGACTAACAGTACACAGGAAAGGTGGAGAACCAGTGCTGATCTGAAGGAATTCAATTAAATCTTGACTTTTACAGTAAGAGGTGAACTGACACTTCCTTTCTCATTCTCAGGTTTTTTTGGAAGGGCCAAGAAAAAAAGGGTTGTTAATTACTGATAAATTTATTACATGGTACAAACACACATAAAAACATTGAACTTCAGCCAAAAAAGTATCTGATTTTTAACTGAGAGGATAAATGGGTTCCCCTCATCTTTGTTTTACACTAGGTATTTTTTGCTAGCTCGTACCAATCCAGACCCAAAAGCTCCTGCAAGCAAAGCCTTTACTGGATTCATTGTGGAAGCAAATAGCCCTGGAATCCAAATTGGAAGAAAGGTAAAGAGCGTGTCTCTGATTTGGTGAGACAGGAATTATTTTCCGCTTCTAAACTAATAATGCAACCAATTGCCTTTAAAGAAAAAAGACTGTTAAGCAACGGAACACACTCATTTGTTCATGTACAGTCATCTTTTCCACAGCATACAGAAACTACTCATAAGACATACTTAATAATTATGATTTTATCAATTCGGGTAAGGAATTATTCAGAATGGTCTGCAGTAAGATGACTTTGCACAGCTGCGAAAGAATTGAGAATCCTTTAATTGAGAAGTGCCAATTAACGTGAAGCAGTACGCCTTGCGAGTGCAAGAAGCAAGGTGGACAACTTTAACCATAAACACACAGTGTGCTTTAATTTCAGCTACTCCTGCTCAGGGAATAGGCCTCAGAGACACTGGTTCTAGTTCTCTTTTGCAGGCAGAGGAAGAAAACAAAGTACTGTTTTTAGTAGCAGGCAAAACTAGACACTGAATGTTAGGAATCTGAAAACTTGAAAATCTTACTTACTTGTTTTTTTGTAGTTTTCTGTATTTTAAAACTTGAAAATCTTACTTACTTGGTTTTTTTGTAGTACATCTGTATTTTACTACTGCCTGCATATTAGGTTCTTTCCTTTTATCTCAAAGGATACAGTTGAACTAGAAAAAGACAAATGAGCGATTACAATTACAGAATTGATTTCAGAGGAAGTAAACTGTCCAGCTTTGACAAATTAAGGACATGTTTGTAAATGCAAAACTAGTTTTTGTTGTCAGTAGGGTGATTTTTAGATAAAACTGTAGTGTTTGGGGGGGGGGGGGGAAAAAAAAGGTTATTTTATGCTTCTAGTAAACAAAAAGGTTATTTTATGCTTTTAGTAAACAAAAGAATGAAAATGTGTTGTATCCTGGAAGAATCCAGTTAAGCTGCACCTCTGTAAACTTTCCTTTTCAGGAAATGAATATGGGTCAGCGCTGCTCTGATACAAGAGGTATAGTCTTTGAAGATGTAAGAGTTCCGAAAGAAAACGTATTAATGGCTGAGGGAGCCGGCTTTAAAATTGCAATGGGAGCTTTTGATAAGACCAGACCACCTGTAAGTATCAGAAATAAGTTACTTTTTAAATATAATAGGAATTTCTCATTTTCATTCTGTGCTGTATTTAAATCCAGGTAGCAGCTGGTGCTGTTGGGTTAGCAAAAAGAGCACTTGATGAAGCTACTAAATATGCTTTGGAGAGGAAAACCTTTGGGAAACTGCTTGTTGAAGTAAGTTAAATATTTAAAAATAAATATATCAAAGAAGCTCCATTTTCATACCGGCTATACTAGTGAATTTTCAAGGTCCTTCCCTGATATTTAAGACAGGTGATTGATTAAATCTCTGCCATCACTTGGGTTTTCAAAACAATAGGTCAGCACTATCTAAGTAAACCTAGCTAGGCAGTGACTCCTGGGATTCTTCTGTAACTTCCTGATGATAATAGTAAAATCACAAAGAAAACCACCCAACACCCTGAAACTCATGTACTGTCAGGACATACAGAAGTTCTTCAGCTGTAATGAACAGGGATTTTCAGGGAAGGAGAAAACCTCTGTGAGGTACCTGAACCAAGACTCGTGGTGTTAATAGAACACATTGCCTGTCACACTGTTTACCAGGTTTTAAGAAATACAGATAAACAGCAAGCTAAGTACAGATCTCATGAAAAGTAAAGCACAACTTCAGTACTTAACCCCTGTGATTAAGTGCACTTTAAAATTAAAAACTTGAAGGTCTAATTCAATATACGGTTGCGAGCCTGACCCAAAATCTGTAGAACTCCTCGGGCACAGCTTCCGGAGCGTGTTGAATTAGCAAATAATTAAGAAGACTGACTTCTTCTTGGAGGGCACAGATTTGTAAGTGGGCCGTGTGGACTGGGTTTATTTCATCGTTCACAGCACCAAGCGGTGTCTTTCCTGCTTGCCGAAATGGCGATGAAAGTGGAGCTGGCGAGGATGGCTTACCAGAGGGCTGCGTGGGAAGTCGATGCCGGCCGCAGGAATACCTACTACGCTTCCATCGCAAAGGCGTTTGCGGGTGATGTGGCAAACCAAGTCGCTTCAGATGCAGTGCAGATTTTTGGAGGAAACGGATTTAATACCGAATATCCTGTAGAAAAGCTAATGAGAGATGCTAAAATCTACCAGGTGAGTAAAAGGATCGTAATCCATACATTGGATATGAAATAAACTAATGGCTGCTTAGTTGAAATCACAATGTGCACATATTAAAAAAAAATTGAGGATGAGAGCAGTCATTCTTCCACACTCAAATCAGGCAAATTCTTGCATACAAAATTGCATTAGCTCAACAACTTAACCTACACAACACAAATAAATTCAGCGGTCCGGTTTTCTTTTCCTGATGTGGTTACTCTTTGAAGTGCTTGGACTCCTCACGTGGAAGCTTTTGAACTGTTAGAAAATAAGCACCGTAGAAAACAGCGATCAAAATAGCAGTGCTTGCTTTGGTATTCTGGAAGTGGAGATGGTTTATGTATAAAGCTGATCTCGTCATCACTTCTTGCTGTGCTCTGAACTCTGGTATCATAAAACGGCAGATTGCCTCAGCTGAGATATTACCATTATCACAGATTAATTACCTGGCATGCGTGGCACAGCCTGGAGTGGTTAGGATTTTTTTTTTTTTTTTCCAAAAAAAAAGAACTAAACATGCTCATATTTACTCATGTTTAGTCACCCCTAATCCCCAGATCATTTCCTGTAGCATTATTACTAAGAAATTATTCAATGTCATAATTCTCCTCTTAGCATATACTATGCTACAGTTCTTTATTCGGCAAGAATGATTTAATTGTGGTGAGCAAACCCGGTAATCTTTATCTTTTCACCTCTTTTGGACATTGATAATGGCTAGATAAAACATACCAAAATAAATGACCTCAGGAAAGGCGTGTGGACCATGATCTATAATGTGTTATAACAGCTGTTTTTTCTAAGATTCTAGGTAGTTGACATTTCTCTTACAGCTGACTTTAAAATTAAAACTATTCTTACTAGCCGAGAATTTTTCTCTATCTAAGGTCAGAAAAACCACTGGTCTGGAATCTGAAGGTTCTTATTCCTAATTGCACTCCTGCAAGTGAGGAAATTAATGAGTAGTTGAACTTTGTTAGGATTGAGCTTTTTTCCTGTCAGGTTCCATGCTTTTCTAGAGAAAGAGGGTGGGAGGGTTAGAATTTTATTTGAAAGCTGAGACTGACTTTACAGGATTCCAATTATTTAGATTTTCCATTACACTGATCCATCACAAATGCATGGCTAGGTACAATTTTTTTTTTTTTTTTTTTTTTAAATTGTTCAAATTAATCGGATTTAGTCGGAAAGGCTTTACATCCATGTCTCTTGGTTATGCTTCCCTGTATTACTGCCCAATTCCAGACGGTACATGCTTTTGGCCGTTTGTTTCGTGTATAGAAACTTTTCTACCCATTCTTTTCTTCCATACACTTGATGTTTCACAGTGTGACACAATTCTGCTACTGGTAATGTCCTTACATGTCCACGCTTTGCTCTGGTTCCTGTCCAGCTACAGATCTAGGCTACTATGACAGAACTTAGTTTCTCAAATTTGGAAATAGTCCCTTCTGTAATCATCGGTGATGCTTGAAACTATTCCCCACTGGCTCATAAACCAAAACCTTTCTTGTGGTTACTGCAGAAGGCTGTGGGTTTTGATGTCTTTACACTTGAGTTTCATGGCTGTCCTCATCAGCAAATAATTTAGGTAAGGGATAAGCAGCAGCAGTCTGAGAATTCACTTCGGGAACAAACTACTTCCTCTGAACCAAAAAACGAACGTGACCACAGGTTGTAGCGTCTTCATTTTTTAAAAGTTTTGTAAGGTCCTTGGGAAGATTATCCCTATTTTACGTCTGCAGAGAAAGCGAATTTGCATGCATTGGAGCAATTGGCCAAAGCAAGTTTTGGCAGAACTGGGAGGTGAGACACTTAAACCCCTAAACTGTCTTGCCCCTGAATCATGTTGCACCGTACCTGTGGAGTGTGTGGCAATCAATCTACGTACGTGCTTTGCTATTATCTCTGACTTTGCTGCCAGCAAGCCACACAGAACAGAGGGAAGATGCAGGATGGTTCTAGAGGAAAATGCAAGAATATGTGGTTAAAAAACCCAAAAGGAATTAAAAAATAAATACTGTGTTGAAGAGAGTACTAGTTAAGAAGGATCAGTGGGAATAAATGGATGAAAGGGAACGTTTGCTATGGCCTTGAAAGGCTAGTCAGAGAAAATATAACCCTTTCAGCACAGGTCACCTCCTCCCCTCCACCCGCTGTTTCAAAACCTCCTTTGTAAAACCTCTGTATTTCCTTCCCTAGGTGAGACATTTTCCCCATCCTTCTTCACCCACTATGTCTGTTACAATTTCATGAGAACCTGACTGAGTTTTGATGAGAGCATCTGAGAGAACAAGGCTGTCTCTCAGTGTCTTGTACGTGGTTTAGTGCATTTAGCCCCCTGTAGTTACTCACGTCACACTGGCATTTTTTGTTTTCTCTGTCTTTCTGCACCTTCTAATCCACGCTGGGTTAGTGCTATGAAGGTTGACAAGTGTAGAAAGATCTGCTAAAATATTTTTCAAAATGATCAGCTAACGTCATTGCGATTTTTCTTTTCAGATTTATGAGGGAACTGCTCAGATTCAAAGGGTGATCATAGCTCGTGAACATGTTGCCAAATACAAGGCTTAAAGAAACGTATCAAGCATGTCTGGTGCTGCTGTAGTGTTTGGTGCTCTCATGGAAGATTTGAGTGCATTTCTCAATACAACTAGAAAGGTGTGGAAAAATCTCCTTTCCTTCAAAATCTTTTGATTGTGTACACAATTAAGCACTACTTCTGTACTCCCCATCAATTTCCTCACTTCATTCCTTCTGACTAATAATCTTGGTATTTTCTAAACGTTTCTGAATTCCAAGGTGATTGGTTGCCTTTGCCCACCCTCTTTCCCTTAAATCTTTGGCTTTTGGTGGGAGAAGAGGTAGAAACCCTCCCTGTAAAATTTTATGATTAAAACCAAAATTCTGATACCTTTTTTTTTTTTTTTTTTGGTGTCTGTGAAGGCATCTAGCATGTAACAAATAATTGGATTTTAGGTGTTTCTGTATTCTTTAAAATTACACAGTTTTGCTCTCACTGTTTTATCACTAGAGTTTGGTTAGATATGAAATTAGTATATCTCAGGGAAATTTAAAAAAGCTGTTCTGCTTCCTCAGGAATACCGTGTTGCAGTACACTCTCCCTAGGTCACCACTTTGCCAAGATAAACGTAACACTGTGGTTTTGTGGCCTCTAGAAACTTGCATCTTTTAAAAAAATTGAAAGTGTCTACATCTTGCCTTCTGGACCTTTCAGAAACATGCATTTTCATAGATTACAACACAGATTGGTGTTATTTTTCTCACCTGGTAGCCAGATTACTACATTTTATACACGTTCATGAGTCAGTATGAAAAAAAAAAAAACACTAGTTTTTGTTTTCATAGAGCTTCTTTTCAGTGACTTAACCATGTTACCTGAATGTAGCAAAGACAGAAATTGTCATTCAGTGTGTTTATCCCTGTGCCACAAAGGAACCTGTCATATATATGAAGAAAATTCTTGGGTTTTTCATGCCTTAAGCAAGACTTCTCTACGGACGAATGTTAAGTACAGCTCTTGAGAAATACAGATACATGTTTTTACCGCAGAGGGGAAAAAAGAAGTATGATAATTAAATTTTAAACATGTTTTCACCTTAACTGATCCCACGCGAAAGAACCTGTAGGGAACAGCTTTATTTTAAGGTATAACAATGCTGTTCTAATCCTGGATACCCAAACAGCCAAGTACAGTAAAGGGCAAGGAATGAGAACCTCACAGCACAGTGGTCCTTCACTGTAAAAATGAGACGATCAACATGTTATCGCTAGCATTCATTGCTGCGTTCTAATAAAAAAAAAAACCTATTTATAACCAGAGAGGTGTGGTTTGCTTTCGTTCCCTTCGCTTGTCACGTTATTTAAATTGTATTTCAGGTGAATTGTCCAGTGTCTGAAGTATGTTACAGCTGCACCGCAGTTCTCGCTACGCTACAGCCCAAAGCAGCTCTTCCAGCTCAGCAGCACCGAGGCCTGCGTCAGGTCTGTTTGAAGGAATTAGATACTAACCAGTAGTAACAGACTATCAGCTTCAGAGGGCATGGCCTCTTTTTTACTACACTTCTTCAGCAAGTAAATGTTCGATTAGGATGATTCAAGGGAAAGTGTGCAGCTTTTCCATAAGAACGATTTCAAATCTTGATATATTAAACCTATTCTTCCCTTCCACCAGCATATATACTTAACTACATTTTCAGAGAAGGAGGAATTTTTGGGAGGCTTTTTTTTTTTTTTCCCCCCTCTGGACAGGCCCTTCTTTCAGTGCTGTAGGACGCCCCTGCCCCGGCTTTCCCCGGGGGGAAATCGCTGGGTGGTGGTGAGGTCGCACCCGGAGCGCCGTGTCCAGTGCCGTACTGGAGAGAGTCCAGGGATCGGCCCACGAAGGACGGCGGTGGGTCCGGGACCACGAGGGGAAGAGCTGGGGCTGCTGAGCCTGTTGGAAGGCTCGGCGGGAGCTTACCAGCGCCTCCCCACCAGATGGGAGGGGAGGAAGCAGAGGAAGGCAGGCACTCCTCAGCAGTGCCCACCAAACGCAGGAAATTTCACTCCGAACGCAACGATTTTTTTTTTTTTTTTTTTTTTTTTCCTGGGAGGGCGGGTCAAACACCGGCACGGGCTGTGCAGATGCACTGAGTCTCCAACCTGGGAGTGACTCAAACTCTCCCCGGACACAGTCCTGTGTAACTGGCTCTGCTTGAGCACGGGGGGCGTGGACCCAATGGCCTCCAGAGGCCCCCTCCCACCCGAGCCCTTCGGGGAAACGCCCACGACTCACCACAGCCCCTGGCACCCCCCCGCCCCGGCGGGGATGCAGCGCTGGACGGCACAAATCCTGCCCTCCGGGTGGAAGTCTGCGTTGCTCCACGAAGGGATGAACGGCTGTGACCCACCATCTCTCCCCGACCTGCGGGAACACCGACACTGGGGACGTGCCGGAGGATTCTTCCCTATAGGAAAAGAGAAGAGAAGATGCAAGCACTCGCTCCCTCGAGACTCAAAAAGCCGAAAGCGCAGCGCCTCAAACACCTCACCCGGGTGTGCCCGTCCTGAACGCCGCCCTCCCCGTAAGAAAAAAAAAAAAAAAGTAAATCAAATGAAAAACAGTAAACGCACAAAAAAAAAAAAAAAACCAAACCAACCAACCAACCAAACAAAAAAAAAACAACAGAAAAGAAACAAGACACAAAAAACCCAAACCAAACAACAACAAAAAAAGAACAAAAACCAAACTAACAAAGAAAAAAAAAAAAAAAAATAGAAGAAACAAGACACAAAAAAAAACAAAACAAACAAAAAAAACAACAAAAACCAAACAAACTAACAAACAAACAAAAACAAAAAAAAACCAAAACAAAAATAGAAGAAACGACACAAAAAAAACAAACCAAACAAAAAAGAAACAAAACAAAAACCAAACAAACTTACAAACAAAAAAAAAAAAATAGAAGAAACAAGACACAAAAAAACCAAACCAAACAAAAAAAAAAAACAAAACAACAAAAACCAAACAAACTAACAAACAAACAAACAAAAAACAAAAATAGAAGAAACAAGACACAAAAAAAACAAACCAAACAAAAAAAACCAAAACAACAAAAACCAAACAAACTAACAAACAAACAAAAAAAAAAAAACAAAACAAAAATAGAAGAAACGACACAAAAAAAACAAACCAAACAAAAAAAAACAAAACAACAAAAACCAAACAAACTAACAAACAAAAAAAAAAAAATAGAAGAAAGAAGACACAAAAAAACCAAACCAAACAAAAAAGAAACAAAACAACAAAAACCAACCAACCAAACAAACAAAAAAAATAAACAAAAATAGCCGAGGAAGAACCAAACCACCTCATTTCCCAGCGCGCCAGACCGGGCGGCACAACCGCCCTGGCAGAGGGCTGAGGGGGCGCCTCAGGCGCCGCGCGGGGTCCTCACCCGCCAGGGGCGCCCAGCGCACTGCCGGAGGCGGCGGACCCGCCAGTCGGCCGCGGCGCGCAAGCGCGGGACAGGCGCTAGCGAGGTCAGCCCTAGCGGGGTCCTGCGACGCTACAAGTAAAGCCCGCCCGGCGCGCGGCCGGTCTTTCCGGCGGGCGCAGCGCGGGGAGGGGGGTGAGCGCGGAGCGGCGCCGTCAGCGGTTCCCGCCCGTGGGCGAACGGCAGCGGCGCGCAGGCCGCAGGTTTGTTTCCCTCTCCCAGCCCGAAGCTCCCCCTCTCGAATCGGGTCCCTGCCGTGGTAGCTCATGCTGGCGTGGGACCCAGTCGGCTCAAACGGCTTCCGCTGGTGCCGGGAGAGCTGGGAAGCCATGGGAGGGTTCCCCTGGTGCGGTCTTCGCGTTCCTGTGGGGAATTGTGCGTGGTTTGAGGTAACAGTAGGTGAGAAGTGCAGGGAGCTGCGTTTTCCTTCAGGAGATTTTTCCAGACAGTCTTTGCGATGAAGCAAAGTCCGAATCCCGGCTTTTCCTTTTTCTTTGTTCGAGACCTGAGTGTTAACACCTCAGCCCCTCTGTGGATTTTACCGCGTTTTCCCCCCCCCCCCCAGGTCCTTCTAGGGTGTCTCGGTGTTGCTGGTGGCAATGAAACCGCTGACCCTGTAGAGCAGGGGCAGGCTTGCCGGAGGCAAATTTTTCGGGGCCTTTTTTTCGATCCCGAAAGCGGAGCGAGGCGCTTGAGGGAAAGGGCAGTTTCCTCGGGCGAACCCTTGGCCCCGGAGCTCCTGCCTCCCTGTCAGGAAACGGGAGGGTTTGCGGAGGACGGAGTCGCGTCTCGCTGCTCTGGGCCAGGCCCCACCGATCTTGCAGTGTCTCCTCGCCCGAAAAAAAAAAAAAAAAAAAAGAGACTGTTGTGCTGGTGAAAAGGGAAACTTCGGGCCCTCGTGCCTGCCAGCGCTCGGACAGACCGGCTGCAGCAGCGGCTCAGGACCGGAATGGTCGGCGCGGCCTCGACCCGCGTAGGCTGGAAGGGGGGCGCCTGGCTGCTGTGGGAAGGAGAAAAAAAGACAACTTATTCTTCGTGCTCGCCAGGTGGTCGTTTCGGTCTGCCCAGGGAAACCCGCCGTAGGAGCGAAGGTGGCCTTTGGAGGCTGTAGCACAAATCCCCAGCGGCCTGCAGTTCTCCTCCCCTAGAGTCCCAGAGACGACGCGGAACGCGCCCTCGCTGTTTGCGACGGGCACCTTGGTTCGGCTAGGTACCCGAGGAGAGAGCAGCTGAAAAAAAGGAGGTTTTTTTTTTTTTTTCTTTTACGTGCTGCAAACACAGAGCCCCCTTGCTTCGTCACGTGCGCTTGTTGGTTCTCCTGGAGGAGGAAGCGGGGGGGGGGGGGGCGGAATTTGTAGTCGTTTGTGGTGGTTGTTGACTGTAAAGCCTGGGGGTTTTTTTAGCATGTGGTGCCCGTGGTGATTCGCCTGTGTGTACTGTTGTTCTGAAAAAGTAATCTTTCTCTCCCGCCCTCCAGGAGAAGTGCCTGGAGGTTCTCCCCCTGCCCCGCGAGGACGTGATGGGAAAAGCCGGTGGCCTGCTACGTTGGCGGCCTCTCCAGCTTGGCTTGGGACCAGGAGAGGTGGCTGGGTAAGGACGGACCTCTTTCAGCAGAGCTTTTCCCCAGAGCAAGAAGCCTGGCTCCCGCGGGGAGAGTTAAGGGCTGGGTGGGAGCTCGCCAGCCCCCGCTCTCTCGCCCTGCAGTCCCCCCCTGGGAGCTGCTTTGTTAGTTCTCTGGCTCTGGGCTGGCTGTCGGCACGGCTCCTCTGAAGACGCTCGAGGCGTAGACCCGCCCTGGAGAGCTGGGAAGCAAAGTCGTGGCTGCTGCTTTCCCTGCCCCAGGGCGGGGGCTGCAGCTGTATTTTCGGCGGGGCTCCCTTGGCAGGGCACTGGGCTGGCTCGGGGCTCGGCGGCGGCCTGCGCTCGCTGGGCCGGAGAGACGCCGCAAGCGGCCGCCTCGGGCTCAGGAGGACGCGCCGTCTCCCGTCGCATTCCTTCCCCGCAGGTGAAACGTCTCGCCACCTCTTGGGTCTTTTTTTTTTTTTGGTTTTTTTCTGGTGCGGCCGCCGGCGAAGAAGAGCGCCCAAAAGGCTCCGGCGCTCCCGAAGAGCGGCTTGGGGGCTCGCGCGGCGTAGCGCTGGTGCCGCCTCCGGGACCCCAAAGAACAGCGCCACGGATACAGAAGGTAGCGCCTTTTCTTCTCGGAAGGCTGGGGGGGGGGGGGGTTGGCTTGGGAAGCCTTGGCTGGGGCAGGAGGAGGCTGCCCCCTCGGGTCAGTGATGAGTGTTGGCATGTATTATCTGATCTGGAGTTGATGTCTCTCACCACTCTGGCTCTAGAATTACTCTGAGGCCCGGGAAGCGCCCGTTCCCTTGCGGCTGCGTCCTCGAAGCTCTTCCCAACCCCGAGGATTCCAGTCGCTGTCCCGGGCTCGAAGGCAGGCGTGAGGGGGGGGGGAAGGGGGCCCAGGTTGAGTTTGCTCCCTTTTAGGCCTTAGGGAGGCCGAGTCCTCGGCTTGACGCTGGCCGCTCCTGGGAGGTGCGTCCGCTGGAAGGCCCGCCCGCGCGTCCAGAGTGCCGGAAGGCTGGTGGGCACGTCTTCCTCGGGTCAGAGGTAAGCGTCGGGCGTTCGGACGGGCTTTCTCAGGAGAAAAGGCAGCGCTGATCTCTTCCCTGCCGGGGTCGGACGCTCCGTTTTGCCTTTCCGCCAGAGCCTGGCTGGTGGCCGGCGATGGTCAGGTTCCGGCGAACAGCCCCGGGGCCGGGAGGCAAAAGGTGCTGGCGTTTTTCAAGGCCGCCCCTGCGTATCGCCGAGTTTCGCCTCTTTCTCAGAGTTGGCCCTCGATTCCTAATTGCTCACAGCCTGTTCTTCCCGGTGACGCGCGTTAGGAGTGAAACCCTAAAGCCGGCTGGGGCTGAGGATCGGCGCTCTTGTGTTCCCCTGAGGTCGCAGGGCTTTGCGGGCTCAAGGCCGTGCCGGCTCCGAAAACGGTTGCGTTCCCTGCTCGGACCTTCCTGTTCCCCTCCCGGCGCCGTTTGTGTCGACTGATCCCGTTCGGGGGGGGGGGGGTTGAGTTTTTCTGCGCTCAGCTTGCTTTTCCCTCGTTGCGTGGGAAGCGGCACCGCGGTCGCCGTCTTGCCCTTTGAAGCAGCCCTTGCTGGCAGGTTTTCCCTCGGAGCGTCGTTCCTCACCGCTTTCTTAATTTTTGTCGGGTCCCGCGCCAGGAGAGGAGTCTCCCCTGAAAGGGAGCCAGGCACGAAGCAGCCCCCCCCCACCCCGCTTTTGTCTTTCAGTGCTGGGAGGTTTGCAGCTTGACGTCTCCAGTGGGGTGGAAGCCACGTGGAGCAGGTGAAGTTGCTTTAGAAGGTCTTACTCGGGATGCACATTTTTCCTTTGCCTTTGCGCTGTGGCGTTCCGCAGTGAATCGCTGGCTTTTTTTCCTGCGGAACTGTGGTTCCTAAAACACCTGCCGTGCTGCGTTTCTCACGAGAGCACTTAGAGGATCTCTGTAAAAATACTATTTAAAAAAAAAAAAAGAATTTTCAAGCTTCTTGACGTCACTGCAGATTATTTTTACCCAACCTGTTCATGTTAGTGGTGCGTAAGGTGCACCTGCACACAATACGTTTTGCTATAAATTTTTGCTTGTAGACAATTTCAAAGAGAGAATGTGTATTTAAACGCTCCAATGCCTCCCTAACATTTTTTTTTTTAAGCCTTTCTTTCTCTAAAGGCTTTTAGATAAAGTCAAACAACTGAACTGTCCAGTTGCCTGATGAATTCTCTGTTTAAAGCCTGGAATCAATTTTTTTTTTTTTTTTTTTACAGCTTAAAAAAAAAAGTTACAGTACACTTTGTGTGCAAGGGAATGACAGCGCTGGTCGTGTGTTCTTTATCAGTGAAATTAAACAAGCTTAGAAAAAATTTTTTTTCTTTTTTTAATTCCACATTTTCTTTGCAAGTGGCACTTATTTTTGTCAGGTGGATCACATACATTACCTAGGATTTTGCCATATTTTTTTCCACATTGCATAGGCATAAAGAAAAACTACTCTTCAGAGTCTCTGGTCTATTATAAACGGAGACACCCCGTATATTACTATGTGGGTGGTACTGCGTGACAGTGTAGATCATGGTAGGCTGAAATCCTTATTAATATTGGAATTTTTCTCTGGAGAGGGGGTCGAATTAACTTCATTTCCAAAGTCAGCTGTGCTTTTTAAGGATGTCTGTATAAGATTTATGGGTTAAAAGAGAGTAAGTATGTATACAAATGAAATACTTGAAAATATTCATACATTATTTTTTTTTTTACATCAGATCTTTTAAGGATACTGTATTTGTAGAGGGTCATCACAGTTTCTTAAGCAAACAAAATCACAGGTTTTTTCAATGCAGTGTGAAAGAAATCAGTTGCCCAATGTGTATGTTCAGACACGTTGTGGTGCAGAACACATTGCTATCGTCTACCTCGAATTTGCTAAATATATTCATGAGATTTCTGAGCACACAATGAAGTAATTAACCTTCTGTTCTCAGTCTTCAGTCACGGTTCCTTTATTAAAGGCTATTTTTTTTTTTTTCTGTAACTTTTTCCCCATGCAAATCTTTACATGGAAAGGTCCTGATGTTATCTCAGTACTTGGTCTTCAGTACTGAAGTATAGCTACCCATACCAGCAATAGGCTTTGCAAGGTGTAGTGTATGAGAATTTGCAAAAGAATAATCGATAATTAAAGAACACAAAATTGTGTAGCTGTAGATATGCCTGTCAACAGAATAGATGCTTTTTTTTTTATTTATTATTCCCTTTTCTAAGAATGTGCTTAAGTCCAGAGGTGTGTGCTTTATTCCAGACATGCTGCTTTGCAGTTAAGTTGAGACACCCTGGTTGGTAAAGTCACACTTACAACTTGTAACCGTGAGAAAGGAAGGAGGAGGGGGGGGGAAGGGATGTTCCTTTTCTTTCTACTTTTCTTGCCATACATTGGGATTTCTGTCTGAGAAGCGGAGAAAGTCTCGCGCCAGCTTCAGGAGTCTGACTGCAGATGGAAATGTCGATGTAGGACTTGAAATTCAGGGCAGTGGCAGACATGGGGGAAGCTCCTGGCATCTCACAGAAGCAGCCCCCATGCGACCAAGTCCTTGCCACACAAACCCAGTACAGGTTTTATATTTCAGATAAACGTCTAGATACTAACAAGCATTATGAGGTCTTTTGGGGGGATCTTTTGGTATTTAAACTCAGGAGGAGGGAGGGGGAAACTGTGTGAAGTTCTTGCTAAAATAGTGGTGTCAGATGAAGAAGGAATGTGGGACAAACCAGGTGTAAATGCTCTACAGCTGTTACCATCTCTAGATGGGTCTTTATTCCTTTTCTTTCATCCTTCT